AAAAAAAAAAAAAGTATAAAAGAACTGCAGATATAAGATGCCACAAGGAATTCTGCACCTGGGAGGGGAGAGGGAGAAGAGGAAGAAAAAGAATGCTGAAGTGGAGCATGTGAATACCAAAAAGGCATCAAAACTCCAGACTGGTGGAATTAAATCCCATTAGATTAACTACTTTGACATTCACATATATCACACACGCGCCATGCTTCCACTTCAATAAAGCATTAAAAACTGCTCAAAAAAAACGAGCAGAGAAGAATCCTCGGTTTAAGCTTGCACATATGAGAAATATGATCCTCCTTATGGAGGGAGCTTTGCTTTATGCGTTTTGTAGGAAAGCATACAGGAGTGGAAACCTGATAGCGAAGTTATTACGTTTCCGTCGGTAAGGGAGCAAAAAGTAAGAACGAATATGGAGCTGAGGTTCAAACACATGCTAACAGTCACTCGCCCAGTCAAACTAGCGGACAGATTACAGGTGCAGAATTCCAGACAAAGAACAAAATCAGGACGTAGACAGCCACACAGTCACCACTCTGACTTGGAGGGAACAAGCCCCTTAGAAACAAATACCTCCATTACACACTAATCAATTCTAGGATACATCATACGCACACACTCAGAGGTCCCCATGTACACTGCAGCGTGGAACTCTGTATCAAGTACATCATACATGGGAGGCAGGGAACTGTGGAATAAGAAAAGTTCCACTGCAGACTGGGGACAAAGATTACACATGCCAATTACTGTATGTGTGCGTATGTTTTGCGGATGAGTTTGTGTACAAGCATGTGTCAAATTAAATTCCCTTATCCCCTGCTGCTGCTCTCGGCGACAGCGTCCCTCCAACACCAAATGGGGGTAGGCCCTGTATTGCTCAGTCAATGACACCAGGCTGGCGAGTCTTCCGCTCCACATTGAAGCCCTGTAAAGACAGAATAAGTTTAATTAAGATCAAAACAAAAGGGGGAAAAAAAAAAAAGAAAAAAAAAGTTGTAAACATTTTTTAGGAAGGAAACTATCAAACCCCTGAAATGCTCGCCAAGTGTCTTTTTTAGTCACTGTAGCAAATGATTTCATTCTACTTCATTCTGATCAGTAACATGGATGGCTCCAAATTCATTTAAGCCAAAGTCATTTCTAAAAAGACTATACAAACTTACAGATTAGCACAATTCAAATGTGGCACCATCTGATAATCTCATCATACCTTTGAATTGTCAGGACCACGAGGCTGCCTTACAATGACCAGGCGAGGAGCACTGGCATCATCAAGCGTGATACTCTTCAGTCTGTTCACCAGGCGGTCAGGACGTGGAGTTGCCACTGGTTTAGGCCCCTCACTGCAAGAGGAACACAATGAACAAACAATGTGAAGGCCCACTGGTTTAAACATACCAGCCACAGTCCAGTTCTAAATTTAAAGATCAAGTTCTTACCTGACTCTGCGTACATTGCAGGCACTACATTTTCCTGTGCGTTGATTGAGGACAACTGAGAACTCCACTTCATCCCCAGTCTGAAGCTCCAGACCATCTTGCACTTCTTTTACATGGAAGAATAACTTCTTGCTATCACCAACTTCGTATGTGATAAAGCCAAACTGGAGGGGGGCGGGAATTAATCACAATTTTGAGTTTTAAAGTATGACGTCCACCTACTACCCAGTGTGTTTTTTGTTGTTGTTTTTTTTTTTTTTAAATTATGCAATTGAGGAGAGGAAAAAACAAAAACTGAACACTACCTGGTCTTTAACACACTCCACCATGGCTCTACGCTGTGGAACCACATTACAGGCCATCTTCTGGCCAGTCTGGGTTATTGTGCAAACCTGGAACTTCACCTGTTCTCCTTTTTGCAAACAATCAGACTTGTTTGCCATACTCATGATTCCAAATGGATAATTCTGCACTTTTGATCCGCCTGAAAATTAAAGGGGGAGGAATCAATTTTACTTTCTACAAATAAACTGTTTTACATGTGTAGTCATAATGGGATACCAACCTTCCTCTGAGAACTCAACAAGTCCTTGGTATTCAGTCTGGGAGGGGTCAACACTGCGTATAGGACGGATAACTTTCCCTGTCATCACTGTCCCACCAACATCTTCACCAATTCCATTCACTATGATGGGAAAGCAGTGGATTTTATTTGCAATCATTCCTACCTACAAAATGTCAAACATTACAAATGTACCAAAAACAACTGGAAGTGAATCACTGATACCTGCAGCAACCTTGGTGACCTTTTCAGCACTGACTTTGTTTCCTTTTCCCTTTGAGAGATTGTATTCCACTGTGTCTCCCAGATCCAAGTTATCCAAGTCTCCGCACATTTCACTAAAAACAAAAGCACAAGTCTGAGAATTTGATACTAAAGCGAGTTATCTGCATGGCATTAATAAATGAATACCCTAACCCAGAGGTGTGTTCAAACTTAAATCATTACCTGTAGTGAAAGAACACTTCCTGGTCATGATTTGCTGTCTCAATGAAACCAAAGTTATCTTTCAGTGCAGCAACAAATCCATGCAGTCTCTTGGCACCAGAGGCATTACGGTTGAGGACCCGGATGGAGACGGCACTCTGTTGGCCAGTTCGCTTCACTTCATTGATTGAGAACTCCACCTAGAGGACAAACACACAAGTTGCATGGGGAAAAAAAAAAAAAAAAAAAAAAGCTTCAAGCTTTCAACAACTAAACTTCAAACCTTCAAAAGATGAATTGTAGCATCAACTGTTTGCTGGACTAATTAGGCTAAATGCATAGTGGAAACCATATTTGCGCTCAAGCAAAATAAAGTGTTACTACCTTGTCCCCAACCTGTGGGTGACTTCCTCCCTCTAGGTCCTTGGCATGGTATGGCACAGTGAGCTTCACTCCACAGTCTTCATATGCAATCACTCCCTCCTCAGACTCCTACAATAAAAGCAACACATCAAACTTGGATCATCTTTCCAATTAAGACAACGGTCCCCAACCTTTGTTGCGCCACGGACCGGTTTATGCCCGACAATATTTTCACGGACCGGCCTTTAAGGTGTCGCCGATAAATACAACAAAATAAAACTAGTACTGGTACCGATAAAAAGATTTATTCATAACACACGTGAAAAGACCCAGGAAAACTGAGTTAATGATAACAAAAATAACACTGAAAACTGATAAAAACCATACATTTCACACCTGAGCCTCAACTCTCGCAGCCCGGTACCAAACAACTCACGGACCGGTACCGGTCCGAGGCCCGGGGACCGCTGAATTAAGACTAGCAGTGCTGGCCAAATGTCTCCACAATGCTACAGTTGAACAAAATGAGCATAAGCTGGCAATGTCACCAATTTAAAAGAGAACAAGTCATTTATGACTAGTGTATTAGAAAATTCTGTGCACATAGCCTACATAAGCATTAAAGATAAATGTGTGCAATGCATCATGCTGTAGCAGCCTAGTTAGTACACACCTAATCTACTACAAGCAGTGTTGAGCTTTACCCTACAATTTAGGGCTGCATAATTATTCACTGCTCTAGTTTATAATAAAAAACTAAACACTGTTACTTGACTGAAAATGGCTCTTAATCCATCGTTTGCCATTTCAGTTACTGTACATCGTTTTGAATGCAAAACCATTAGCGCTTAATTGAACTGTTAAAACAAAATCAAAAATCTGGGCGCAGTTTACAATTATTAGGAAGAACCAAAAACTCGCTGTTTTAATAGGATACTGTGTTCGTGAACACCACACACATTTTAAATACAACAGGCTGACAACCACTAAAAGGAGGAGAACCCCCCCAACAAAAAAAAAAACAAAACACTAGCATTCTGATTACTTTTGTGCAGCCCTACAACAAAGTGAAGCTTCAATTCCAGATTCCATGGGTTAAATGATGATCAAACCTCACACTGTAAATTAATCAGGTGAAGGACACCAGAGGGTTAGAGGTTAACAAAGACTAACCTTTTCTACAACTTTACCCTTTAAAAGCAAGAGAAAGATTTATCAGACAGCAAGTCTCGGCACCACAACACTTCACTTGATCATTTGGATTTCTAGACTTTACGTGATGAAAAGCTTCTTTAGATTATGCGTTAGTAAAACAAATTGCGACACCGATAGTTTGTACAACTGGAGTGTCTTTAATTGTGATGCACTTTCATGTAGCTTCATGCAGAAGGTCTCAGTCCTACCTTATCTTTTTTCTAACCAACAAGGAGCATGAACAGGAAGTCATTGGAGGAGGAAAGCAAAGAGGAACATTAGAACTAAAACAGTGTGAAAATACGGATAGATGAGGGGAAATGGGCTGTGTCATAAATGGGGATGATTTAAGTTATAAGCGGTGTTACCTTCTCCTTGCCCTTGGTGGGACTGATGTTCTTGGCGGTGTTTCCAACGACTTCCTTTTCCACTACACCCACAAAACGTTGCTCAGACTGGATATGGAAAGACACTGTGCCTTTTGGAAGCTTCTTAATGCGCACTGCATGGTTTCTCTGAGCTGACAGCATATCCTGGCAGGGATGACATTTATATTAGTATTTTTACTTTAAAGTAACTTGAATGTGCCTGCTTAGGTAATAGAAAATACATACTTTTTTGAAAAGCTTATAAACAGGACCTACAGGCACAACAGTGAACTCCACTTCATCTGAGATATGAAGCTGGCCCTCCTCTAGGACTTCACTGAAGTGAAAGAACATCCTGGCATCCCGATCCACACACTTAATGAATCCAAAGCCATCGCGTATAGCTGCAATAACCCCCTAAAAGAATACATGATGATGCACCATAATCAACATCTGTGATGAATGTACTATAATATAAAATTAAAACCATTTATAGCTGCTGTTCTGCAAGCTACCATTTCACGATTCTCCTTGGTGAACTTGAAAGTGTCTGGCAAGATTTCGATGTTGGTAGCCCGCTCAAGCTTGTCTCGGCGATCAGTAGAGATGTTGAATTGTATGTGGTCTCCTTCCAAAAGAGTCACCTTGGTCTTTGTGTCCTTCTCGCCAAACGGCAGTTCCTTGTCATTGAAACCCATCCTTACACTGACACGACCGGGCAGAGGGTCATTCTGTGGAAACAAAGTTTACATATCTGTTAAAATTGTTTTAAATTCTTGGGTTGTAGTCCATGCTCCCTTTAACAACAACAAACTGTCTTCTACTAAATAAAGTTTATCAGAATCTCCTTGCCTGGTTCTTGGTGGGGACTTTGGGAATGACCTTTACAACGGTGCCTTCAAACTGCTCAATGCTGATATCCTCAAAGATGACGGTTCCTTGAGGGAGGAGCCTCACATCTGTTGCTACTTCTTTACCCTATTGAAGGTTACAAATTAATCAAAGTCCTTTAAGAGTTACACAAAGGCAGTCAAAAGTAGAGCTAAAGCTGAGTGATACATTTTCAAAACGTTCTACTGAAATTCCTAAAAGGTAGCACTCACATTTCTATCTTTGATGGTAAACTCCACATCATCTCCAGCCTGAAGAGCCTCTAGATCACCTTTGAATTCGCTGTAGTGAAAGAAGATTTCCTTCACCACATCTGCTCTTTCAATGAATCCAAAGGCCTCCTGAAATTGAAAACAAGGCTCAGCATAACAGGTTGGTCCCGTTTCAATAGTTCAGCAATTCTAATAAAGCTTGGGAACGAATGAAGAGGGAAAAAAGCCTGCCAAGGGTAAAATTAAGTTGTTTTTGTAACCACTGTTATATTCTACAACATGACAAATCATGTATGTGACTAGACAGCATTGTCACACACACACACACACACACACACACACACGTTCAATATAACCATATATATCGGATGACGATATAAAAACCTCTATCGTTTCATTTTACGCTATCGTTTGTTTCGTGGTGTCGCAAAATAAATTGTTTATGGCAATATTTTTCTCATCATTTTGATGGTCACTGTAAAGTTTTTTTTTTTTTTTTAAATTTCTTAAAGTTCTCTCTTTCTCTTATATTTTATAAAACCACACTACGGACGGACAAGAGCCTGTTTTTATGCGTTGTGGTTAGCAACAACGACGGTAACAGCATCGCGTGTCCGCTTGTTTATGTTCCACATAAACCTTTCACAATAAAGCTCAAGATCCTGTTGAGACTTTTCAAACTAAACTGAATCACGTGAAAGAGCAGATTATTTACGGATGAGAAGTTAAAAAGCCGCCAGGTGCTAAAAAAACAAACAAACCTTAGACTCAAACGTTAGAACCGGCTTTTCCCCGCAGCACGCCGTGTAATAAATACTCAAAGAAAACGGCAGCCTTTACAACTTATGTCTAAAAATGTATAGTTTCATGCATCGGTTAAAACACTCGACTCCAGTTACATGAAGCGCAGCTGGAAACACTTCCCGCAAGTCGAGCTGCGCGAGATTCACAGAATTTACAGAAAATGTTACATTTTTGTGATTTATATCGTTATCGGGACGATAGATGTCTTTATATCGGGATATGAGATTTTGGTCATATCGGACAGCCCCACACACACGCTTTAGATATCCAAGCGAACTTTACAAACTGTAAAGTTCACCCAATACTCCTCAAGTGTTCTAGGCAATTTGTTTTGTCAAATTTCAAAGATATTCCACTAGAGAGAAAAAGTGTTTTGATTGGATCTTACCTTTGTAGCGCACACTACACCCTGGCACCTCATCTGTTTTTTCTTCACAAGCTGAATATTACGAGCGCTGACTGCACCAGTACTGAAAAACCACAAAGGAATGAACATTAAACACCCAGTGACAGCTGCTTATGGCATTTATGCTACAAGTGCTGCACACTTACTGCTTATTGGTCTCCATATAGAAGCTGACTTTGTCCCCCGTGTCCAAATGGATATTTCCCTCCACGTCATCAGGAGTATATGTAAGGTAAAATACTTCCTGTGAAAAGACACCACCGATTTAAAAAAACAAAAAAAACAACACCTAATAACTCGAACTATGTAATATTCAAAACTACCAACAATGAAACTGAGTGAAGAAAAGACTGCCATGTGCTGTGGAGGCTGAAGGCTTTACATTGACTCAGTGCCACCTAATTTGACTAAAAAGCAACACCTACAAACACTGGCTTCTGCCCTTTTTCATTAGTAATCATGTTAGATTGAGTTTGCTAAATGCTTATTTGATCAAACAAAAGATGCATGAAGTTAACCAATTGCCTCTGTACAAAGTTTACTACAGAGGACAGGAGATGAATTCAAAGAAGAAACCCACTCCATTACATTAACATCCTGCAGCTTGCTGACTCAAAGTGTGATTCATGCCACCTATCTTACCCCATTTCTTTCATAGCAGACACTGCCAGTGGGCACCTGTCCAGGAGCAGACTTTCCATCCAAATGCAACGGGATTGATGACACAACCTGCAGTAAGGGGGGAAAATTACAGGTAGAAGCCATTAAACCACTGTTTCATTGGGCTGAATAGACAGCTACAAAGCCAAATAAAAAAAAAAATTATGGAAATGAGATTAATAAAATGCCTGAACCTCAAATTGTACAAATGCAGGTGCATGAATGCTCTAAATGAAGATTTGAGTAATTTGTTTACATCAAATAACAAGGTTAGTGGCAAAATGTAGTTATGTTTATCACCAATGATACCAAGTATTTGGGAAACTGGCTGTTGTATAAAATACAGAATCGAGTTGTCAAGTGAGAAATTATCTCATTCGTACACATTTGTTCAGACATTCATCATCTCAAGCAGACACTCATGCCAGTTTTTAGTTTACATTTAAACTGTAAATCAGGATGAGAGACAAGCTTGACAGTTATAAGAATGACACTGCTTGCCCAAAAAATAAAATAAAAAGGCTAAGCTGACAGACAAGGACATAACCAAAAATAAAATGGTATTCCTTAACTGGATGAATATAACCATGCAGCACAGTAAAGGGATAGGCGTGCAGGTCTGGCCCCACCTGGCCCGAAATGCGCTCCTCTGGCAGCACTTCTGGCTTTATCTTAAGCAGCTTCACTGCTATGGGCTTGCCAGTGCGCCTGTCAGAGGAAACTTCAAACTCTACATCATCTACAGAGAAAGGGACAACAAATAGAAAAGAAAATGAGCAAACTTCAAATGACAAATACAACCTAAGTTTCAATCAAGTCAGCAGGAAATCAAGTAGGTTTCTTTTCAGTAAGTCGCCCTCACCTCCTATTTTAAGCTCCTGCAGGTTGCCATTGTACTGGGAGCAGTGGAAGAAGAGACGAGCCTGACGTTCAGAGCACTGGATAAACCCATAGGACGTCAAGAGCTTCTCCACCACACCAGTCTCTCTAATGCCAGGCCCTGAGCCATTGGCATATGCGGTGTGCCCATTGTTGTGGAGCATGCCTGGGTCAAAACTCATCTAGAGAAGAAGAGAAGCAAGTGTTAAAAAGAAAGCTACCAGTAGTACATAAACATGTAGTTTAACAATTAGGATGCAGCAGCTGTGTTGGATGCCAACCTAAAACAAAATAAATAAAAAGGAAATGAAAAATCAAACATGCAAGTATAGCACTTTCAGGGAAAGTGTGGAGGGGGCAGGGTGAGCAAGTAAAGCCACACGAGAATCTTTGGGGGCTAAGACGCACTGATTTCAAACTTAGACCACGAACATAACACAGTAGGGTTTCCTTTTCACTCATGCACCTGAAGCTGAACTTGACTCACTCCATTTACAGCAGTGTGGCAGAATTTCACACAGTTCTGGTTAGACAAACATTCAATGTGTTTCCATCCATTAACCAACTACTGATTACATGGCAATATCACCAGAAACTTGTCAAAACTCTTTCACAGCACCCTAGTTAATCTTTGGGGCATTTGTTTTCATCCATGCTGTTAGCAAAAGTCACAACACACCAGCAGCTCAGAGTGGTTAGGTCAGTGTGGGCACCATCAGATATGCCTCCTTACTGATCTCTGATACAAGGGTGTCCGCTTGTGTTTTTTACTGCCTGGGTGGGGATGGCAAGAGACGGAGGAGGAACGGGGGATAGGTACGGGACCAGTAGAAGCAGATGGGGTAGAGCCAGTGTTGCGAGCCACTGGAGGTTCAGAGGAGCCTCTTTCCATTTCTGACACTGGGGACAGGACTGGGATATGCTGCAGAGAAATGAACGTTTGGCTTTTACTCTGCCTACAGTTTCCCATCATCTCAGACAAAACCTGCTGAACTTATAATTCAACTTTTGAGGTATTATAGAGTCCTTTAGGCCCACCACATTCTGACGTGTTCTACAAAAAGCAATGGACTAGATAATAGTCATCACAACCACCACCAATACTTAAACCAGGAACAATAGCAGGCAGTAAAACCATCAGATCACTCAACCCTGAAAATTTCATGTTGAAGGGAGCGATATTTGGAGCACTACCAAGTCCCTGGTAGTACTAGAGCGCACTCAAACAGGAACGGATCTACAGAGGAAGCAACACTAAAAAGATATCTAAAATACATTATTGGCACAGACGGTCATGGGAATGATTTAAATACAGTGCTGCAATTAAAAACAAAAACAAAGTAAAGATGGAGAATCAGAAAATGCAAATGACAGGTCAAAGAGCGGTGCATCTACAGTGGACAGGAAGTTGGTGATGGATTATGAGTAATGGGGGAAGAGGGAGGGGATCCCAGAGCAGCCTCTTGCTAGCCCCTGTCCTGCAACTATCACGACTCCTTATGACACAACGCAAATGTACATGAATCCCCAAAGAGAATTAAGGGCTTTGGTCCAGTGCTGATGGATGAGTACTGTAAATACCATCTACTTAAGATCAATTTTCAGTTTTCCTGAGAACCAACAAGTATCCACCTTTCATATGCATCTGTGGTCCAGGATTGTGTGTGTAGTTACGTCGAAGTGTTAATATTGTCCATCTTGAGTCACTGCCCTCCCTTTTACCAGTCTGAATATTAATCGGGGAGGGTACAATGTAAAAAAAAAATTAAATAAAAATAATAAAAAAGTTTTAAAACAAAATTTTAAAGAAGTGCTCATTTACATCAAATTTCAGACGTCTAGTTGGCAGAACACCCTCACCCTACAACAAAATAACTGAGTAGAGGCTAGTCTTGGGAGCCTGAAAAGATGAAAGAAGTTATGCCATTCACAGCAAAGATGTGGGGCAAGGTGGGTGGATGGGTGCTCGATGGGGTGGGGCACGTAGAAAGGTGGGAAGGTGAAACTTACGGATCGGCCATATGGCGACAGGCTGAGTCCGACAGGGGAGGTGCTGCTCAGGTCAGCGCTAACAAACGCGGTGGGTGGCGACGCAGGCAAGGTAAACTCAACAAAGCCTTTCCAGGGGCTGCCCATATTTTCCCATAAACTTGAACAAAACTTGCTTGAGCACTTGCTGAACTTTGATATAGGTTTTTGTTTTTTGTTGGATTTTTTTGCTTGAGTGTTAAATACTATTCTTAATCAACCACCCAATGATACACCGCTGGATGTCTGCAAGGGTGAAGAGAGGAACAAACATAATAGGTAAGGCAAGTCAGCCAGTGTGCCAAGTGTCACAAACAAAAAGGAAAATAGCTGCAGGCTTTAATCCCCAGAGAGGATACAAAAGGGGGGGAAAGAAGGCAAAAAAGGAGGGGGGTATGGCCTGAGAACGACAAAATAGGAAGAGTGTGGATCAGGTAAGGGAAGGCAAGTAAATCATTTTCCAACAAAACTGAATGACTACTTCAAGTATTTGGAGGTGGTGGTGGCTCAGTGGTGCTGGCTTCTTTCACATTTTCAGAAAAGTTATCTTTAACAAAAGGACAATGTAGAGGTCACTAAGATCAAATCACTATTTTACATCAAGTATCACTTCCCTGCACTCACTCCACCAAAAGGATGTGATGTCACATGGAGAAACCAATAAGTACGCAAGATTCAAGTCTAACCAAGCACTGCGGTAGCTTGGAATTGGCTGCTGCAAACAACAGCTTAAAATATTGTCCTACAAAGAGAAATTTAAATGAGGTCCAAAACAAATAATTTAGTTTGCATAACTTTGACAAAGATGAAAACGCATTGGTTTTTAGTGACTGAGGGGAAAAAAAGAAATATGAACAAACAACATCCTCGGTATACTGCCCCAAAACAGTGCAATGGTAAGTGTTATACAATCTGTTTTTAAAGCATGTGTGAATCATGTAGTGCATCTAACAAATGCAGATTCTGAATCAGATACCAGTTTTATAAGAATATTAAAATCCAAAAGAGGCCACTAATAAACCTAATAATACAGAGAGGTAATGATGAGCAAAACGTGTGACATAACCAGAAGTACATTTACAGCCATCAAAAACACGCTATGAAGGGCTTTAACTGACTTGAGACCTACCTTTATTGGTCGCCTTGTGTCTTGTATCTCTCAGGATTTTGATGAACTAGCAGTTTTTGTGGACCTCTTCACGCACACAGTTGAACACGCACACTTGTTACAGTTTCTGGCACAAGTTCTAGATGTTGCATAAAGTAAAAAATAAAAAATAAAAAAAGAAGGGGGGTTGGAAATTTAGAGCAAAAATAAAACAAAAAGGCAAAGGCAGGTGCAAAAAAACACTGCTCAGGAAAAAGGAGGGAAAAAAAGGGTTAAGTTGGGGAAGGGAGCTATGGGAGTGGGGAAAAGGAAAAAACAAAACAAAAAACCAACAACAACAACAACTAGCAGATAGCAGCCCACTCCACACCCCGGTGGTGAGTCGGCGGTGTAGTGAGGATGAGGAGGGCTAGGAGCAGCGTTGGGACGTGTGCTTTGTCAAAGCTGTTGAGTAGGCACAAACTTCTGGTTTCAGATCAACTCTGGTCTTCTCAGAATATGCTTGGGCGCAAGTTTGCTTCTCTTCCACTTCGCAGTTGGGATGATGTGCGTATTCTTTGGTCGTTTCAGGATTTGGTTACTTCTTGCGTTTAAATCCTTGAAGTGATCCTTTTTCACCCACGCTTCTTCAGTGTTGACTTTGTTTTGGGAGGTTTGTCTTCAGTTTCTTTGATTTGATCTGAACTTGAAGCAGTTGCGGATGGTACAAAAATTCAGGTCTGTTTCACTTCATACTGTTTGAAGGGGGATGAAGAAAAAAAGAAGATCTGGTTAGATGAAAACTTATCACCAACTCCACTGATCTAAATTTAGGTTAAATACAAAATGGCCCAAGGGCTCCATGAGTCTGTAGTGAGAGAGAAAAATGTAATTACACTGTCAGCTAATACGACTATTCTGTCACATGAAAACAAGTAAAAACCCCAAGCACCAGCAGCCTGAGGTCTTTTGGGAACATTTGATTCTTTAGCTGCACTCAAGTACAAAAATAAGCTTTCCTCAAATGCCTCTAGATACAATGCTAGGCAGCTGACAAGTACTTTGGATCAACAAGTCCTTGTGCATACCGTCAGTTCAGGCTATGTTATTTATGGCAACATTTCAGACCAAGGCCCTCTGTTTCATCATTCAGCCCCCCAGTTGTTCTGCATGCACACCACTGTAAACATTTTCAGAGGGGCTAATCTGGCAATCAAACAAAGCATTGTAACATGTGTATGACCACCCCCCCCCCAAAAGAAAAAAAAAACATTTTTCCAGAAACTCCAAGTAACATACAGCACACCAGAGCAGGATGTTGTTGACCTAAATACCCTGCTCTGAAAACAAGATAGCTGAGACAACCAAGGACACATGATATCTATTCTGCTGTGACTATGTTGCAATGTCTCCCTTCTTACATCCCACTAGGTTAGAATATGACGTTGTTAAAAGGCTCAAATGTGATTGCTACAAGGTTGACTGCATAAGTGTATTAAAGGTTATGAGCCAGGAGCTTCTGTGGCATCTACGATTTTTTTCTGCTTTTTATTTCGCAGGAAACAAGAAAAAAAATCAACTCACGACACAACTAGCAGCGATCGGCCGTTTTAACCATGGTTTTTTTTGTTTTGTTTATTTATTTATTATTTAAATTGGGACCAAACTACAGTTTTGTCTGTTTGTTATTTAATAACACGAGTGGGAAAGATACCTCTTATGATCGGACATTTATTAAACGACAGTCTTTTCTCTGGGCAAACAAAACAACCGCCCCGACAGGAACCACCATGTGACTTCTCAGCAATCCGCTATCCTCAGCTGGAACTGCCAACATGGCCTGATCCAACACGTTTCGGTATGCAACGCCATCGCGAACGTTACGTTTAACCAGTCGATTTCAAAACACACAATAAACTAAAATATAGTTAGTTAAAACTTCGTTCCTTTAGTTCTGTTTTGCTCATTAAGCAAAGTAACCCGCACAATCACATTTAAGGATGTCTTACTGACCTTGTGTGGACAAACAGAACCTGACAGATTGACATTCGCCGATGCTAATCGTCGTAAACGGCTACTACTCCACTGTCTTTAGCAACACTTAAGTTAATGATGAAGAATTTCTTTAACTAAAACGCATTCAGTTCTTTTGTAATTACCTGATGACTTAACTCCTGTGCGGCTTGGAGTCCTTGAACATAAAGTTTGCTGGTAATTAAGCAACGGTTCAACGTTGTACACTGTACATAGAGATAACATTTCGACTTCTCTTTCACATTAATGTTTAATGTGGTTTCGGCCATTAGTCAAAATATATAGAATTTCTATGTATTAATTTATCTGGGACTGATTATAAAGAATTTTTTTAACTAGAAATCATATTTTAATGGAGACGTTTTTTAGAACTGGATCGTATCACACGCCAACCTGCAACACGGGCTATTTAAGCTAAACGGACAATAGAGTTGAGAACAGACAATGCCAAAAGTGACTGCCGACACCAGGACAGTTCTTTAAAAAGTACTTATAATTATTTACATTTTAATTTCTTGCCAGTCAAGAACAATGTTAAATATAGACACTCAGTTTATTCATTTCTTTACGTCGATAACGCAATAATAACATTATCGGCGTTAACGGCACGAGGACGGAACAACAAAGAAGCTAGATATAAGCCTCGTCCTTAATTCTATTTAAATGCCATCTTTGTCTCTAAAGTAAACCACATTCATTCTACACACGTGCTGTTTCTTCGCCAGACTCTAATACGTCTTAGAAAAAACATCACGCGCCTGTTTATTTATACCTTCGACAGCATAACTAGGCCATTGGCAATGCTAAGTAGCTAGTAGCGACTACCGTTAGCTAGCATGCCGTTGTACTCCTCGGCCCTCGCGTGATTTATGTGGAGCTGTAACAAGGCAGCCTCCACCCAGGCCCGAACTGTGCGTACGACTAAGCGCTGACTCACCAATTCACCTCTAAGTACTCACTGGCCAAAAAAGAAAACTATTATTGATATATTACCAGTACACGCTTAAATTCTTCTGCTAAAAGGGATAAAATATTAAAAACTCACCCCAACAGCTTTCAGCACTGTCACCAGCGCCGCTAGAAGCAGCACGGCACATTGCGTAGAGATAGGGAGACGGCTAACGCGATATTTGACGATACTAGGTAGACCAAAGATCCTAAAGCGAAGAGTGGCTACGCAAGGCGCTGATAAGAAACCGCCTATGTGCCGCAAAGGGACATGGGAGGCATTTGCGTTATAGTAACGTTAACATTTTATCTACCTCGCTGTCTAGACTGGAAAACAGATATGTAAGAGTAATCCAGTCGAGTTCAATAAATAATAAACCCATTAATTATTTGATTAATGAGTAAATAATAGCTATCATGCCATTTATTAGATAACTAAACTGAATAGGTGTCGCCATAACTAAGTTTTCTCCCCATACAGGAGAGTTTCTGAGACTACACGTTGCACAATAACCCAACATAGGAAAATGTAACATAATGCATCAACTCAACTCAGCCCTTCACTCACTTTGAAATTACCCGATAGTAATATTTAAATTTCAACACTGTAAGTGGCTTACGTTACATTTTTACTTGAAATGTTGATAATTTTTAAAATTATGTTGTTGTTGTTGTTCATTTTGTGTAACATACAACAGTTGAACAGTGGAGAAACAATATCATTTTTTCTTTTTCTTTTCTTTTTTTTTAGATGAGACGCTGTTGCTTTATGTAAAGATATTTTAAAGACAAGCTAGATAGGTTTAGCCATTTACCCCGCTTTTGGTTGTGTGCCAAACGTCTACACCGCACTCCACCCCAGTAGGTGGCGACTCAACGTTGGTTTGACAATTCACCAAAAGTAGGAGGAGGAGGAAAAGAAGAAGAAGACGAAGAAGGAAGCGTCGCTAACAGTTTAGTTCTACACGGAAACGTCAGTTTCTGAAGCAGTAATATTCTAGTAATGTAGTAATATTTTGATCTGGGTGTCTGGTACTTGCCCTGTCTGCCGACACAACATTAGTTAAATAGCGAAAGAGTAAGGATATTTATGTTTCTATAATGGCACCGAGCTGCCTCGGCTAAGGTTATATAGCCCAGCTAAGCAACGGCTGCGAGTTGTTTTCGCTCGACTAGCTAGTTTTGTAGTAGCTTTTCTACGTAGCGTAAAAAGAGCTGTCACTTTCCAGTAAATGGCCTGCACTTTCGAAAAAGTGCTGGCCGATACTCGGACCCTTCTCGAGAGGCTAAAAGAGCACGACACAGCCGCCGAGGGACTGATAGAGCAGTCCGAGGCCCTAAATCAGAGAGTGCAGGGCATGAGAGAGGTGGGAAATGCTCTGCCAGACAAGGTAAACTCGAGCAGATAGCTCACGTTTATGAAAAGCTGCACTACTGCTTGGTGTACACATTGAACTAGTTAAACAGTGACCTGTACTACAAAGCGAGTTTCCCTCGTATCTAGGATATGCTTTCGTGATATGCGTTCGCTAAAGTCTTCTTTATCCGTTTCTTCTCTGCTCTTTTCTCAGCACACAGATGACAGTTCAGAGATACAGGAGCTCACGAAATACAAACCTCATGTCCTTCTGACTCAGGAAAACACTCAAATCAAGGAACTGCAGCGGGAGAATAAAGGTAAAAAAAGGTTCTGCTGACTGGCTGGTTTTATATACCAGTATTAACACTCTTTATGTCTTTGTAGAACTATGGGTGTCTCTCGAAGAACACCAGTACGCGCTCGAGTTGATCATGTGTCGGTATCGCAAGCATGTGCTCCAGCTGATGATGGCAAAGAAGGAGCTGGACACCAAACCTGTGCTCAGCCTCCATGAGGACCATGCCAAAGTACATCAACTCTGCATTTCTTTAATTTGCTCACACGTTTAATGGGCTATGATTCCAAATACATAGACACACAAATTTAAAATAAAAACAACCAACTTGATTTCTGACTCTTCTCCAGGAAGTGCAGAGCCAAGTGGAACGGATATGCGAGATGGGCCAGGTGATGAGAAGAGCAGTGCAGGTGGATGATAAGCACTATTGCTGTGTTCGAGAGAGGCTTGCTCAGCTAGAGGTGAGAAATGCAGTTATACATGGACACAATGACACCTTTCCTCTTGAGGTCTGTGGAAAAATATGTGATTTTACCACAGACCTCAGACATCAGCTTCTGTGTCAAAATGATGCAACGATAATAGAGGATCATAAATGCAAATGAGAGCTGAGTTGTCAGTTTTTAGTGGAATGGCTAGGTTTAGTGCATCAGGTCAAGGAGCATGTTGTTTTGTTTCGGGGTTTATTAGGCCTTTTAAACCAGTCGGTTAGATTTCTTACTGTGCCATCTTTGTGATAACCTTTTGTGAGTTTTCTAAATATGCTACAACTGTAAAGTTTGTTGAAAAGGTACATTTTCCCAAACGGTAACAAACGTGTATTTAAGAATATAAATGAATAAAAGCATTCAGAACAATAGCTATCTTCCCGGGAGTGGTTGTTCTAGCAAATTCAGCCACAGACTGTGCAATGCTCATGGCTAAAAATCCAAGAGCTACAGCTTAGACTCTACAGGGCTATGTTAGCACGTTAAATGAAAGGGAGAAAAAAAATCCTCTTTCCTTTAAAAAAACAACAACAAAAAAACAAGGCAGCATTGTTAGTTTTGCATAACTTGGCTGAAACAGACTCATAAAGCAGGACAATGATCCCAAGCACAGCAGCAAATCTGCAGCACAATGGCTGACAAAAGGGAAATCACAGCTTTTTAATATTTCAGTCAAGGTCCAAACCTCAACTCAGCTGGAACACTGGTGGGACCGTAACGAATAATCGTGATCTTCAGTGTGCTGAAGCAACATTGTAATGACCAGACTTCCTCCATAATGATGGATGGATAAAGCCGTACACAAGTTTTTACACGATGCTTCTTTTTATTAAATAAATAATGACATGAGTTATTGTTCATCTGGGGCTGTATTTAAATAATTTTAGTACCTGCTAAGGAACTCATCCTTTTTTTTTCTTATTAGGTCTTATTGATAAAACCTGAGAAATAAAAGACGATGTACTTTCTTTTTAATTTGTCTGTATTTGCTTTGGTTATCTGCTTCCCCCAACACTGCCAAAGTGCAAAAAATTCTATCACAAATAAACAGTAACACTATTTAAAAGAGAAGATGCGATGCATCCATCACAATTTTCATTCAAAACCTGCTTGCATGGGGAAGCACATGCATGTTATAAGGAAGAGATATTTAACTTCAAAAGTTATGTTTGAAAAAAACATTTTCTACCTTCAGATTGAGAACAAGGAGCTGCGCGATCTCCTGGAAATCAGCAAGAGCTCTGTGAAGACAGCTAGCCAGTCACTAGCAGCAGAAGAAGGAGAAGAATCTCCTCTGCCAGGGTCCACAGAGTGACCTGAAGTACAGCTGGGATGAGGTTCCACAGGACCAGGAGAGGGGGCTGATTGTGTCTTCACCTGTGTTCATTATAGATATTGTTATTTTAATTTTATTTTTTTACATGTAATGAAATGCAGTCCAGCATGAGGTTAGCACCCACGATACACATGTACTGCAGCAAAGGCAGTAAAAGCAAAGGTGATTTCTTTAGTTTTTAGCCAAAGACACTTTTATTCTCCAAGGATACAGTTTCTACCTCTTTGCTGTTCACACACACAAACTTTCACAGTGAGTAAAGCACCCAAAACCAGCCCAACCTTTGAGTTCACTTGAAATCTATTAAGAAGCCAAATTGTAGTCCACACCATATAAGAAGCTGTGCTTGCTGCCAATAAGAGAACTTTTGGCTGTTTTACACTTTGCCTGCTGAGGAGTAACAGTGGAACCTTTGTTGTGATGTTTTGGGTTTGATATGTTTGATAAAGTCTCAATATATAACATGGTTTTCATGTTTTGGTACCTTAATTCTGTGTGTTAGACACAAGTTGTACAGTTTGCAGATTCAGAGTATTGCATACCAGCTAATGGCACATCTTTGTTAGTGAGAACACTTTCAAACATGCCAAGGTGTTTTTTTTGTGTAATGGATACCATGTTTGTACGCTGTATGTTGTCAGAAACTGTATTTTGTCGTCTTAGGAAATCATGTTAGATGACTTCACGACAGTGTACTGATTTGTGTCAAATTAAACTCAGAAAGTTTGCTATACATAACAGCGTGCCTGGTTTTGTTTTGTTTTTTCCAAACTTTTTTACTGTACAGCTTGCTGGATATTGTATGGACCAAAGTGACTTGTTTGGGATAATCCTTTCTTTACCGCAAGCTGGCGCCATTCAGTTGTTGGGATATAACCTATCGCGAGGTTTGCAAGAGTTTCAATGCTGCTTTCATAAAAAAGACGTTACTTGGCTTTCTTTAGTTTTTTTAAACGTTTCCTCCTTAACATAAGTTCTGTCAATAACACCAAGGCGGTAAAGGGTGAATGTTTAAACGAATCACTTGTAAAATCATAAAATTTTCAGTGTTGTCGTTTATTATTCTGCTTTTAAATCGTAACCCTAGGGATATATTTCCGACAACACGTGAAAGCATCACGCAGAGGTGCATTTGTTAGTTGTAGCCTGCCACAAGCTAATGTTCAGTATGTCTGAGAAAGAGCTGGGGAAAAAGTGGGACCGATGCTTAGCAGACGGTGCCATTAAATTAGGTAAATATGCTTCAGTTTCTCAATCGTAACGATGTCCTGTACCAAAACAAGGGTCACTTAAGAAGCAGTTTATATTGAAGTCCACAGCTGTCATTGACTGGGCGAGAGGCTAACTAGCTAGCCATAAGGGCTTGTAAAGGACAACTGAATGACCAGTCATTTTTTCATGCTTTGTTTATTTTAAACACATACAGTTACGGTTGGGTATACTCTGTCATTTTATTAAAGTCTCAAGATGTTTGGCCTTTGATGTTCTCGCTCATTTTTTATGCGTTTCACTTAGCCCAGTGCAAACGCTGCTAAGAAAATGTCAACCTAATTCTTAATCGCTGATTAATACGGACACGTCTTCTAGTACGCAACTTAAAGAATTTTACAAGATATTTCTGTCCCCCTCTTAATTCGGCATATATATATATATATAGTTTAGGTTATTCACATTTCAGCTATTCTACTGCTTCGCTAACTCTTTTCGCTTTTCCAGAACTTAAAGAGCAAACAAGAAACGGCGTCAGATAGTAGGGGAAAAGTTGGATAATCTAGTAAAATAAGTTTTGATCTAAGGAGATGATCCTGGCCAGGGGGTGCTTAACGTGACATGGCCATGCACTTACTGTTAAGAAGCAAAGATCCATAAATTGATGCATATTTGAATGGAGTTAGGTGCGGTGAAGAATAGGTAGGTTTACGCCAAGCAGGCCCACTTTATTTTAAAGAGACTGTGTATTAAGACGGTAAAACTCTTCTTATATGCTGTGGCAAGATAACATGAAATGTCTTCTTTTTTTTTAACCATCTTGTAGAAAAAAGTGGGGGGAAATATTGCTCTTAAACTAATCATACAGCATAGATCAAATGATGATTAAAAGTACATCAACCAAAGGCAGCAGACGACATCATATACACCAAATAAGCATTACAAAGTAGCTGTATAAATAAATAATACATTAACAGCTGGGTTTTTTCTGTCTCTCAGGCACCGGTCTGGGGTTAGGCATTGTGTTTTCTGTTCTGTTCTTCAAACGTAAGTAGTTTAATTGCTTTACTGAATCTAGATCAGCTCCTTTTGCTCAAAAGTCCTTGAGGAAAAAAAGCATGGCTGCAGTAATGTTCTACTCCCGTTACAGTAACACATACATATGGCTGTCTTTTACTGCGAATAGATGAGATGTATTTTTTTGTCCACAGACAATAGTCATTTTAGATTTTAGATGTAGGAAAATGATGTGCCTTTGTTACGGAGACAGCAAAAGGCCCAAAAAGCTTTTAAAGAAGCATGTTAAAAATTGAGGTAATTACGATGGGGGAAAAAAGGCTACGGGGTGAAAGGCTGTAGCACACCATCTCTAATCTGTTTTTAATCATGCTGTGAAGTGCTTGAGTGTTTGAAAAATAATCTAAAGCATCTTTCTCAATTATAGGGCACACATGGCCAATTTCACTTGGCTCGGGAGCAGGGCTCGGCATGGCGTA